AGTTCAAGACAAGCCTGGCCAACATGGTGAAACTCTGCGTCTACTAGCAATACAAAAAGTAGCCAGGTGTGGTGGCGGGAGCCTGGAATCTCAGCAACTGCAAAGGCTGAGGCATGAGAATCGCTTGAACTGGGGGCGGGGGAGGAGACTGGAGGTTGCAGTGACCCGAGATCATGCTACTGCACTCCAGCCCGGGTGACAGAGCAAGACTCTGTTATAAAACAAAAAGAAGGGGCAGGGCCGGGCGCGGTGGCTCAAGCCTGTAATCCCAGCACTTTGGGAGGCCGAGGCGGGTGGACCACGAGGTCAAGAGATCAAGACCATCCTGGTCAACATGCTGAAACCCCGTCTCTACTAAAAATACAAAAATGAGCTGGGCATGGTGGCGCGTGCCTGTAATCCCAGCTACTCAGGAGGCTGAGGCAGGAGAATTGCCTGAACCCAGGAGGCGGAGGTTGCGGTGAGCCGAGATTGCGCCATTGCACTCCAGCCTGGGTAACAAGAGCGAAACTCCGTCTCAAAAAAAGAAAAAAAATGATTAAGAAGGGGCAAAAGGGGAAAGGGGGAGAAGGCTAGGTATGAAGCTGCTGCCACAACCAGAGGCTGGAGCTGCAGCAGTGGCCAACGGGAGGGAGTGAGGTACAGATGGGATGTCAGGCCCGTATGGGTGCAGTGCCCACCTGTCTCCGGCAGCTCTTGAGGGTGATGCCTGTTTTGGTGCTGATATCATCCAGGTCTTTCTTGGTGCCTTTGGACAGCTTCTTGCCCAGCACCTCCCGAACAAAGGCCTCGTCAAAGGCATAGTACCTTGTGGAGTCAGAGAACACCACTAACCCTCCATAAAAGAGAGGAAAGGGGGCCTGGCAGGGCCCGGGTCTGACCCCTTCTGCTCTCAACTTTCTGATGGCTAGGTAAGTCCCATCCCTCCCTGGGCCTGTTTCAGCACGCAAAATGGATATACAGTCAGACCGGTTGACGTGCCCCCCATCCCACAGGGTGAGCACCTCTCGATGAGTAGTGCCTGCCTGGAGGGCGGGATCTGGAAGATGAGCTGGTGCAGTAGCTTGGGCGGTGCGTGCAGCAGCCGCTCCAGCATGTGAAAGGTGCGGTAGTGGTCCATAGTGTCGCTCTGCAGCACCGCTGCCGTGGCGCCCGTCTGCTCCAGGATTCCCGAGCGCACCCGCAGGGCCACCGCGTCGGTCACTGGAAAGTGTGGGCTTGCATCAGGCCCCGCCCTGCCGACGCCAGAGGCCCTTCAGGGATTCCACCCCCGATCATTATAAAACCCTTTATTCCCAGGCAGCTGCCCAGTTCCCTAAATGATGCCCAAGTCCAAGCCCCGCCCTGCCTCCAATTCAAAACAATCGCTCCGCGGACGGGCTCCCCAACATGCTCCTCACGGACCCGAGTAGCCATCTAGCCAGAGGCGATACACGTCCTCGTCGATGAGGGTCGTGTTCCCCACAAAGATGTCCAGCTCGCTAGTCATGGCGACGCCCGGGGCCGCAGCGCCCCGAGCAGGACAGAGGACTGCTAGGGCCTGGCGCGCCGCCTCCGGGCCACTTCCGGGAGCGCTGACATTCCGCTCCGGGCACCCGGACCCAGCAGAGGATCACTTCCGGGACACAGCCAATGAGAGCGGGGACGCGGAGGGAGCGGTGAGGGAAGAGATGGGGGGGCCTGCGCGGAGGGGCGGTGCCTCCTCCCGCCGGGAGGGGGAGTCCCGGGCCCCGGCGGGTTGTCGTCCCCAAGCCGGCTGCCGGAGCGCGTCTGCCGGGAGTGCCTCCTCTTCGTCTCCCCGGTCCCCGCAACCTCTCCCCTCACTTCCTCCTGGCTTTTCTCCCACCTCCTCTGCCCTTTTTGGGACCGCCTAAGTTTGACCTGTATCCCGAAGTTAGGAGTTTCACAGGGCTCTATCCTAAATCTCTTCTCCGCAAAAGGGGTGTACGGCCCGACTTCCTCGGGCTCTTGCTGGAGACCCCTCTGTCCATCCTGTGCATAAGCACCTCTCCTGGGCTTGGGGCACCTGCCTCCAACTTGGTTTTAACCACACCCGCACCCCCAGGAGCTACTGACGTCTTTAATTCTGCCCTCGGAGCTCTTCCTGGAAGTCCACATCCGGAGGGGCCGCCCATCGGCCAAGTCTGTCCACTCTCTCTTCCCGTAAGCCCCTCAAAAGCTCGACATACTCCAGCCAGCCCTTTCTCTCTCCCCATCTGTTTCTTTCCTGCGTCCCTGTCTCAGTGACAAGCCTAACATCCACCAGTTTTCATGCGAGAAACCTGGGCGTTCTCCCAGACTCCTCTCCACATTCGGTTGGGCTGATTTGCCTCAGGAATAGTCCCAGTATCTGTCCCCCCCACCGCCACGGATGCTGCCCCAGCCGTCTTTCTGCTTAGCTCTCATCTCCCTGCCTGTGTCGCCTCCCCGCAGGATCCGGCCCGCACAGAGCAGCCCAATCTTTTTAAATGCATATTTTCAAATGTTACTCTCTTAACATCCTTACTGGCCTTTGGAAACGCTCCAACCTAGTACTGAAAGTTCTTAAGAATCTGGCTTTTGCCTGCCCTTGAAGCCTCACTCTCTCAGCATTTTCTGCACAGATCGGCTTTTCAAAAATCATCAAGCTATCCTCATTGTTCCTAAAGCAGCTAGGCTCTTTCAGGCACCGGTGCCTTTCACCATGCTGTTCTCTCTCCCTGAAATAGCTCTTGGCAAAGTCCTGGGCATCTACCAGAGCCTCTTGGATAGCATCTCTTTTGAGAACCCACTTAAGGACCCTCAGACCATACTCCCCACCCCCCATTTGTTTCTTGCTTAACACAGCTTGTCTCCCCAGACAGACTGCGACCTCCTTGAGGACGGAATCAGTATTTTGGTTAAATCTATTTTTGCATGGGGCTTGCACATAAAACACGTTTATTGAGCAAACGAATCCTGTATGTTCCTCCCCCAAGGCAGGAAACGCTCCCTGGGAGGGTGAGTAGTCTAATGGTGAGCTAGGACGTTTGGACTCAGGCTTCCGAGGAACCGGGAGCGATCCTCAGTGAGCCAAGACTTCGGAACTTGACCAAAGGTAATGAGGGACTGGAGACCGGTCCCTCTGACTTCCGTCGGGCATAAGCGGGAGTCAGGGGGCAGACGCCTGCATCTTGGTTCTCACAAGAGCCGAGAGGCCTAAGCTCGAGCTTAGGGAGATCTGGAACTTGGCGGTTCGAAGCGCCCAGTTTCGGCTTCAGACCAATTGCGGAGGGCGATGACGCGAGGGTACCTTGACATCGAGAGTCAGTAACACCCGGAGTAGTTGAGGAAGGGGGCCCTCTGAGCTCAGGCCCCGCCCCTTTCCGGGGGGCGGCGTTTCACCGGATTGGTCGTCCTTCCATAACGTCATGCGGCTCCGCCCCGGCGCGCGCGCCCCGCCGCGTGCCCAGCCCAGGTAGCTGCAGCAGCCTACGCTGCCTCGGCCACTGCCAGCCGCGCGAGGAGCCGGAGCCGGAGCCCGAGCCCGAGCCTGAGCGGCGCCGGGCCCGACTTGGGGCTCCTGGGCTGCGGCGGCGGGCGGGCGATGCTCCAGCGGCCTGACCAGCCATGGAGGCCGAGGCAGGCGGCCTGGAGGAGCTGACGGACGAGGAGATGGCGGCGCTAGGCAAGGAAGAGCTGGTGCGGCGCCTGCGGCGGGAGGAGGCGGCGCGCCTGGCGGCACTGGTGCAGCGCGGCCGCCTCATGCAGGAGGTGAATCGGCAGCTGCAGGGCCACCTGGGCGAGATCCGCGAGCTCAAGCAGCTCAACAGGCGCCTGCAGGCAGAAAACCGTGAGCTGCGCGACCTCTGCTGCTTCCTGGACTCCGAGCGGCAGCGCGGGCGGCGCGCCGCGCGCCAGTGGCAGCTCTTCGGGACCCAAGCATCCCGGGCAGTGCGCGAGGACCTGGGCGGCTGCTGGCAGAAGCTGGCCGAGCTGGAGGGCCGCCAGGAGGAGCTGCTGCGGGAGAACCTGGCGCTTAAGGAGCTCTGCCTGGCGTTGGGCGAGGAGTGGGGTCCCCGCGGCGGCCCTGGAGGCGCGGGGGGCTCAGGCGCCGGGCCAGCACCCGAGCTTGCCCTGCCCCCCTGTGGGCCCCGCGACCTAGGCGATGGAAGCTCCAGCACCGGCAGCGTGGGCAGTCCGGATCAGTTGCCGCTGGCCTGTTCCCCCGATGACTGAAGGCGCTGCTTCCTCCACGCCGACGCCCGCCCTGATTGCTCCCCGAGCCCTGGGACTGCTGTGAACCGCCGGACCTGGACGCCGTCCTGGCTGCGCAGGAGGGGCCCACTGGCATGGACTGAGAAATCCTGACACCGAGGAGGGCCCCTCGCTCTTGCTGGCAGGGCAGCAGGGGGACTGAAGGCTGGAGTGGAGGGACGTGCTGGGGGTTGGATTGGGGTAATAAACCAGGACGGAAGCGGAGCCCTTGGCCTGGGCAGCGTCTGTTTGGTATTCGCTGGGGTTGGGGCAAGGGTGGGGCACTGAAACAGGGTACCATTCCGATCCAGAGGGCCTGTAGAACTAATGATCCCCCCCATTACCTCTAGCCAGTGGTAAACCAGACTTCCCCGATCGGGTGCCGGGACCCGCCATAATCCGGCCCCTGAAGTGGCTTCAGCTCCCTTCCCGGCTCCTTCCTGTCCAAGACAATGGGGCAGGAAGCAGGTGCTGGGGACCTAGAACCAGTCGGCTGCCTCCTCTGAGGCTGGAAGGGGCATAACAGCGCAACCCCCCACCCCACCCCCAGAAGGTACAGGCAGCAGCACTCTGGGCCCCGACGGGGAGAGGGACAAGCCTCTTTGCTTTTACGCCAGAGGACTCTCTCCTCTCAGTCCTGGAGATGGGGCCGAGCCGATGTAGCCCCACTTGTCAGATAAGACAAAGTCCAAAAATATCAAAGAATTTGTCCAAGGTCATGCAGTGAGTCTGTAGTGCTACGGCTGGGACCTAGGGCTCCAGATACACTCCCGTTAGCCTCTGGGTCCAGTGAGGCACCCAAGCCACAGCTTCCAGCCTTTTATTCCATTTTGGTAGATTTGTATAAAAATACTCTCTTTAGGAAAATAAATAGCAGCTGCCCTCGCTATGGAGGCTTGGATTCCCCTGGAGCTAAAGGCTTCTCAGAGCTGAGATCTGCAGATCAGCTCATCACCGAAATCTTGGGCGCCTCCTGAGCTGTGTGGTTCAGGAGGGACCGGCAGAATGCCCTGGTCCAATCACCTGCTGCTGCTGGCAGTGGGGCTGGTGAGTTAGTGTTCTAGGTGGGTAAAGTGGCACCTTCTGTCGGGGATAGGGTTGGGTGGATCGCAGGAAGAGAAAGGGTGATGGAAAATGTGGCAGTGGTCTGGAAGGTGTTAGGGCTCCAGAGGACCTCTATAGATCTACGAAGTCTCTGGGCTGCCAGGATTCCTCTGGCACAAATGGGAAATACTTTGTCTCTGATTTAGTGCAAATTGTGCTAGAGAAGCCAGCTCTAGAGAAACTGGGCAGCTTTGGTGGCCCCAAGTTGGCTCTACTGTGAAGCACAATATGATCAGTCTCATTAGAGGGATGGAGAAGAAACTGCTGGAGTTGGGTGTGGGATACCATCCAGGCCAGCTGGACTGGTGGGGGAAGGGGAGGAGACAATGGTTAGGGTGCTTCACAAAGCAAGGAGGGTTGGGGAGCCAAGGGGGTCAGAGGATGGGTCTCCGCTGCTGCTGCTGCTCTTGCGATGAGCTGAGGCACAGGGCTCAGGAGTGCTGGGGTAGGTGAAGACCAGGCTGGGAGTAAAAGGAGTTAGGGAGGGTGTGGTCATGAGTGTGGGGGTGTGCAGTGCCTCAGGTTCAAGCACAGGCCCTGGGGAAAGGGAGATGCAAGGTACAGGGCGGCAGGATGCTGGCGGGCTGCTGGTGCGCCTGGTACTGCCTGTGTCCCCCTCCTTGTCTCCTTCAGGGATTTTGCAGATGGGTCGGTGGGCTTCCAGCACCAGCTCCAGGCGCTCCTTCTGCTTCTGCAGCTCCTCAATCTCTCGCTGCAGCCCGGATTTCTCATCTTCCAGTTTGTCAGTCTCCTGTAGATCAGGAGAGGAGTCAGGAAGGTGAGGGCTGAATACCCCAGAGCCTCAGATGTTTGAACTCAGGGTTCTGAGGAGCTGGGCTTGGCAGTGGGGGGTTGGGGGTGATGGAGAGTCTCTAGCAAGTCTGTACTGCAACTCCCATGAGCGCCTGGGAGAAAATGGGCACGACTCCCATCAGGCCCAGGCGTTTTAGGAGATTGCTGGCACCAGGCGGTGGCTCAGGCCTGTAATCCCAGCACTTTGGGAGGCCAAGGTGGGCGGATCACTTGAGGCCATTTCGAGACTAGCCTGGCCAACATAGCGAAACGATGTCTCTACTGAAAATACAAAAATTAGCCGAGTGGGGCAGTGGGTGCCTGTAGTCCCAGGTACTCAGAAGGCTGAAGCAGGAGAAATGCTTGAGCCTGGGAGGCAAATGTTACAGTAAGCCGAGATCACACCACTGCACTCCAGCCTGGGCGACAGAGCAAGACTCTATCTCAAAAAAAAAAAAAAAAAAAAAAAAAGAGATTGCTGGCTGAGCTTCAGCTCTGCTCTGCTACAAGTGAGACCTGCTGCAGTCAATTTGTTTTTTCTTTTATTTTGAGATGGAGCCTCACTCTGTCACCCAGACTGGAGTGCAATGGCGTGGTCTTGGCTCACTGGGCTCACTGCAACCTCCCCCTCCCTGGTTCAAGCGATTTTTCTGCCTCAGCCTCCCAAGTATCTGGCACTACAGGCACATGCCACCACACTTGGCTGATTTTTATACTTTTAGTAGAGACAGGGTTTCATGATATTTGCCAGGCTAGTCTCGCACTCCTGACCTCATGATCCGCCCACCTCGGTCTCCCAAAGTGCTGGGATTACAGGCGTGAACTACTGCAACCTCTGCCTCCCAGGTTCAAGTGATTCTCCTGGCTCAGCCTCTGCTGCCACGCCTGGCTAATTTTTTTTTTTTTTTTTTAAGTAGAGATGGGGTTTCATCATGTTGTTCAAACTGGTCTCGAACTCCTGACCTCAGGCAATCCACCCACTGTGGCCTCCCAAAATGCTGGGATTACAGGGGTGAGCCGCTGTGCCCAGCCCAACTGCAGCCAATTTTTAATTGATTTTTCCTCATCCTTTCCCCCAGGGACTGCCCTTCGGACAAGGAGCAAGGATTGGTGGGGAGGGAGCTACATATACTGGGGCTCTGGGGCCTCCCGGGAGATGGGGTCCCTCTGAGCTTGGTGGGCCAGGGCCTGTGCTCACCGCCTGCAGGAAGTCGGTCAGTTCCTTCCTCCGGTTCCTGCACTTGGCCGCAGCCAACTTGTTCCGCTCGCGCCTTACTCGGCGGCGCTCCTCTTCCTCTGGGCTGATCTGGGGGTGAGAAGAGCAGTGAGGAGAACCCTGGGCCATTGGCTGCCTGGAACTCACCCCTCACGGTGGCCCAGTGGTAGGACCCTGGCAGAGGTCATGGCAACACAGGGGCCCCCTCCGCCTGTGATTTAGGGATCACTGCACCCAACCGGTTCCCTGCACTGAGGCACTGTCTTCTTGGATTGGTCAAATTTCCTCCTCACACCTAGCTTTAGGGCGCATTCCTCTCCCATAATGTCCTCCCCCTCCATAAACCGTAACCCTCCTCATCTCCTAGGACTCAACTAAGATGCTCCCACCTCCAGGAAGCCCTCTTATTCCCCAGCCAGAAGTGACCTTTCCTCCGCAGCCCCCTCTTTGCAGCACCCTCATCCTTCTGCATCTCTGGACAACCAAGTCTCCTCTTACCCCATGAGCTGTAAGCACTAGGAGGGGCTCATGAGTGTTGCGGATTAAGTTGCAATTCGTTGGAAACCTACTATGTGCCAGCTAAGTACTTTACATAGATTCTTGTTTTTTCACTGAGAATATGCAGAACAGAAACTTTTTTTTTTTTTTTTTTTGAGTCTTGCTTTGTTGCCCAGGCTGGAGTGCAGTGGCACGATCTTGGCTCACTGGAACCTCTATCTCCTGGGTTCAAGCAATTCTCCTGTTTGCCTTAGCTTCCTGAGTAGCTGGGACTACAAATGTGCACCATGATTGTGGCTAATTTTTGAATTTTTAGTATGCACTGGGTTTCACCAGGTTGGCCAGGCTGCTCTCGAACTCCTGACCTCAAGTGATCCACCAGCCTCAGCCTCCTAAAGTGCTGGAGTTACAGGCATGAGCCACTGCACCCAGCCTTTTTTTTTTCAGACAGAGTCTCACTCTCTCCCAGGCCGGAGTACAGTGGCCTGATCTCGGCTCACTGCAACCTCCACCTACTGGGTTCAACTGATTGTCATGCCTCAGCCTCCCAAGTAGCTGGGACTGCAGGCATGTACCACCACATGTGGCTAATTTTTGTATTTTTAGTGGAGACAGGGTTTCACCATATTGACCAGGCTGGTCTCGAACTCCTGACCTCAGGTGATCCACCTGCCTTGGCCTCCCAAAGTGCTGGGATTACAGGCATGAGCCACCATGCTCGGCATCTTTTTCTTTTGTAGTGACAGGTCTTACTGTGTTGCCCAGGCTGGTCTGGAACTCCTGGGCTCAAGGGATCCTCCTGCCTCAGCCTCCCAGAATACTTGGATTACCGGCGGGAGCCACCACACCCAGACTTTTTTTTTTTTTTCTTTAACATAGATTCTTTTTTTTTTTTTTTTTTTTTTTTTTAAGAGACGAGGTTTCACCTTGTTGGTCAGAGTGGTTTTGAACTCCTGACCTCAGGTGATCCACTCACCTCGGCCTCTCAAAGCGCTAAGATTACAGGCGTGAGCCACCACGCCTGGCCTTAATACAGATTCGTAACCCAACTTTCCATGAAAAACTGAAGCCCGGGGAGGATAACTTGCTCCTGGTTCCAGACCAGAACTTAGAACCTACTGACTGTATTCTATACTGAGTGACAAGCCAGGTGAGGGAGACCATTTCGCAGAAATGATCCAACTCACAGCTTACAGACCTACCTGGGAGAACCCAGGATCAAAAGGTCACCCTCAGGACCAGGCTGAAAGAAGGACATACAAGAGGGGTTACCCCTGGCCCGCTTCTGTGGCTCACACCACGGTCCCTTCTCACCACAAAGGCCAGACATTCTGTTCTGGGAAAGCTGTCCTTGGCTGATCTTTCATCTTTCCCAGGGCCCTAACCTCTCTCCCATCCTCTACCCAGCCTGCAGAGCAAGCTTTGTAACCTCATCCCCTGGAGTCTCCTCCACCAAAATGCCCCAGGGAGGGGAAAGATGAGCCTCTCCTTTAAAGACTCTCTATCTCTTACTTATTTTGATAAGGGCCTTGGGGAGCCAAGAGTTCTCAGTTACCTCTGCTTCGAATCTTCTGTTAGCTCCCAGTGAGACTGAGTGGCTTGGTGATTTATTTATTTATTTTTGGTAGAGACAGGGTCTCTCTATGTTGCCCAGCCTAGTCTTCAGCTCCTGGCCTCAAGCAATCCTCCCGCCTAGATCTCTCAAATTGCTGGGATTACAGGCATGAGCTACTGCACCCAGCGCTGGCTTGGTGGTTTGGATCTGACTTCAGAGTTGGATAGACCTGGGGCCAAGACCAGTCCTATGTCATTACTCACTGTATGCCTTCATTTCCTTGGTAGAAGATGGGGAAAACCAGGTACATTCCCCAGAGGGATTTTGTGAGGATTAAATGAGACAGGGAAACTGAGACTGAGGGAGTAGCTGAAGGGAACCCTCTTCCTGTTCTCTTCCAGGCAACATAAGCGCCCCGTCTATGCACATGAGCAGGTAGACACCCCCTCACCATTCCATGTGCACATCTTACATGTTCTCACCTCCACCTCCATCCTTGATCCTGCTATCCCCTCTACCTGGAATGTCCTTTCCTTCATCTCTGCCTCTGCCAGTCCTACCCATCCTTCTAAACTAATATGCCACCTTTTCCAGGAAGCTTTCCCTAATCCAGAAGTGACTGATTTTACCCTCTGGGCCTCCACTTTGGGCTCCTATCACTTTTGGCCTTAGGCAGTCTTGCAGCCTACCCTCGCCCCTCCTAAATCTGTACTCTTCTGTCCGGCAAGAGCTTCTCCATATCCTAGCACTCCCAGGAGCAGCTGGAACCACTGCAATGCCTCTGTGCCTTACCTGTTCACAAGGCCTTCGACGTATCCCTGGAGGCGGCCCCAGGGCCCGGATGACTCCTGGCCGGGGTTGTGGGGGGCTGTACTGAGGGTAGGTCAGAGGCCTGGGGTAACTGCTGGGCCCCAGGAAGTGAGGCTGCACCATCCACTGCAGCTCCTGACTGCCACTCATGGTGTTGATGCTTGGCACGAGGTGGAACTTCTATGGGATAAGAAATGGAAGGCCACAGATGAGGTCCATGTGGATTGAGGGGCTCCCACTGGGCAGAGGCTACACTGCCGTCTACCTTCAAAGTACTGGCGAGCTCTGGGAACAGAAAGAGCACAGCTTGGCAGTCAGAGTCTGACATGGTGGCAAATCCCTACTCATAAGCTGTATGACTTTGGGCAGGTCACATAATCTCTCTGTGCCTCTATTTCCCCATCAGAGCTAACATCTATAAAGTATGAACTTCCAGGAACTGTCCTAACCACTGTACAAATACTGACTCACATAATTGGCACAATAGTGTCTTCATTTTCTTTCTTCTTTTTTTTTTTTTTTTTTTTTTTTTTTTTTTTTTTTTGAGATGGAGTCTCACTCTGTTGCCCAGGCTGGAGTGCAGTGGCACAATCTCAGCTCACTGCAACATCTGCCTCCAGGGTTCAAGCCATTCTCCTGCCCCAGCCTCTCAAGTAGCTAGTATTACAGGCATGCACCACCATGCCCAGTTAATTTTTGTATTTTTAGTAGAGACAGGATTTCACCATGTTTGCCAGGCTGATCTTGAACTCTTGACCTCAGGTGATCCACCTGCCTCGGCCTCCCACAGTGCTGGGATTACAGGTGTGAGCCACCACGCCTGGCATAGTAACTTCATTTTCAGACGGGAGAACAGTTGTCCACAGATACAGAGCCAGTGAGTAGGAAATGGGATTTGAGCCCAGCAGCTAGGCTCTTACCCACTCCTGCACTCATCTGCATGAAGAGGATAATTACAGCTCCCAACTCAGGGGATGACTGTGAGAATCAGGTGTGAGAATGTGTGTGACAGTCTAGTAAGTGGCAGGTGCCCAGTGCAGAGGGGCTGAGGCAGGAAAGATTCACTGCTCTGGGTTCAGGCTATTCCATTTTTTTTTTTTTTTCTTGAGACAGGGTCTCATTCATTCTGTCACCCAGGCTGGAGTGCAGTGAGCTGCAGTCTCAAGCAATCCTTCCACCTCAGCCTCCCAAATAGCTGGGACTACCAGTGTGCACCACCACATTTGGCTAATTTATTTTTTATTTTTTGAGACGGAGTCTTGCTGTGTCACCCAGGCCGGAGTACAGTGGCACAATCTTGGCTCACTGGAACCTCCACCTCCGGGGATCAAGCGTTTCTCCTGTCTCAGCCTCCTGAGTAGCTGGGACTACAGGTGCCCACCACTGTGCCTGGTTAGTTTTTGTATTTTTAGTAGATACAGGGTTTCACCATGTTGACCAGACTGATCTTGAACTCCTGACCTCAGGCAATCTGCCTGCCTTGGCCTCCCAAAGTGCTGGGATTGCAGGTGTGAGCGATCATGCCCAGCCTGGCTAACTTTTTAAAATTTTTTGTAGAGATAGGGTCTCACTAGGTTGCCCAGGGTGGTCTCAAACTCCAGCTGAAGCAATCCTCCCACCTCAGCCTCCCAAAGTGGAGATGATAGGCATTCTGGCATGAGAGGCTGTCTCAATTCTAATCTCAGCCCTCAGCCACTTACTGGCTGTGTGACCATGGGCAAGTTACTTAACCTTCATGTACCTCAGTTTCCTCATTTTTAATAGTGTTACAGGTGAGGATTACAGGATTTCATTGATGCTAAGAAGTACCCTTTAATAGGTGTGAAATCATAGTTTAATTGGCAATTTAAAAATTTTAGTGGGCTAGGCATGGTGGCTCACACCCAGCACTTTGGGAGACTGAGGTGGAAGGATCAGTTGAGCTCAGGAGTTCCAGGTCACACTAGCCAACACAGTGTGACTTTATTTCTAAAAAAATTTTAAAACTTAGTTGGGTGTGGTGGTGCGTGCCTGTGGCCAGGTTGCCTCCCAGCTAGGATCCCAGTAGGATCAGTCGAGCCCAGGAGGTTGAGGCTGCAGTGAGCTCTGATTGTGCCGCTGCACTACAACCTGGGCAACAGAGAGGGAGTCCCTGTTTAAAAAAAGAAGAAGAAGAAGAAGAAGAAGAAGAAGAAGAAAAGAAAAGTAAAAGAAAGAGAGAACATTAGTGGCATAAAGTAATGGGGTCTTAAATCCATAAGGGCTTCGATTCTGTGAAATACGGCAAGTGATGTGGCAAGCACCCAGCACGACGTCCCTGCGACCGTTCTATTAGCCAGCTATCAGAGGAGTGGGTTGGGATGGGGCTCAGTGTTCTGGGAGACGTGGGTTCGAGCTCTGCTGCTGTGCCCTGGGTGTGGGTTCCCGGTCGTCCGGGAAGCTTCCCACAAGCCCAGGCAAGTCCCGACAGCGGTAGCCCGAGCCCAATCGCTGCGGGCCCGGCGGCCCAGTGACCCCAGTTCCGGGTTCGAGGCACCGCCGGCGGCATCTCCCGCTCCCGAGGTTGTCCGGGCCCGGGCCAGGAAGGGAGGGGCGCTCCGGGTGACTCAGCCGCCGTGACTCGGCCGCCGTGACTCGGCGGAACGGACGCCCCTGTCGACACGTGCTCGCAGCCCCTCGATAGGAAACAGACACCTGCAGCCTCCCGGGTACCCCCGGTGGGCAGCGGGCGCCGTTTTTCGGGGGCGAGAGTGGGTCGCGGGAGTTGCCCGCAGCCTGACCCCGCGCAAGTCCCGGAACCTCGCGGGCTCTATTAGCCGCATTCAGCAACGGGGTCGAGGGCCGGTCTCCCGGGACCTGGAAGGTTCCACTGCCGCGGCCCCCTTGGGCTCCCCTAGCCCAGAAACGACAGGGACTTGGCGACGGAGGGGCGAAGGACAGACAGGCGGACGGACACGCGGACGGTGGCAGACGGGGCCGAGACTCCCACCCTGGCCCCGCTGCTCTCCCGACGGATCCCGCTTCCCTCCTGTGTGGGGACGTCTCTGCCCGGACCCAGGCTCCAGAGCCCAGGAATTCAGCCCGAGGCGAAGAGACCCTCCGACCCGTCAGGGCCAGGCCAACCCAGGCGCCTACGCCCCTTCCGAGGCAAGGGGGACGCACAAGTCAGAGGTGGGCAGGAGGCGAGAGAGCGGGCGCGGAGACGGAGGGACGGACGCGCGCGCCGAGGGACAAGGGGACAGCTAGGAGAAGGGAGGCTCGCGGATCTGGGTGACCCCGACTGCGCGGTGGGGGAAACTGGCCCCAGACGGCGAAGGGGCAGGATCGTCGCCCCGGCCCCCAGCCCGGCCCAGATTCCTGTTCGCGGCTCCAGTCCCGGAGCGTGCGGGAGCTGACCCCGGCCTCCCACGCGCAGTCCTCCCGGAGACCCCCGGCGTCTGACCCCACTCACCTGCTGGGCCGCCTGCCCTGCGGCCGGGGGCTGCGCCGGGGCGCCGTACCCGCTGCCGTTCCCGGAGCTCGGGCCGGGTTCCCCGAAGTCTCGGAACATGCCCGAGGCTGGCGGCTCCGTGGGGTCCGCGACTGCTGGTTTCTGACTCACCCGCGCTGTGCGGAGTCTTTTCTTTTTATGAATGAAAAGTTCTAGGGCTGAACCACTGCGACCGCGGGGGGTGGGGGCGTTGCAGCGGCGCGGTCACCTCCAGGCTCCACCCCTGAGACGCGCCGCCGAGGCCCGTCGGTCTCAAACTTGGTGACGCCTCCCCTAGCCCGGCGGCCGCTTTTTCACCGGCTTAGGGGCCGGCTCCGCGTCCCCCGGCGGCGGCGGGCCCGCCCCCCTGACGTAGCTGCCCATACATGGTGCAACTTCCTCGCCGCGCCCAGGTGGAGCCCCGGGTTCCCCCGCGGACTGACGCACCTGCCTGAGCCCGCGCCACGCCCCAGCCCTCTCGCGGTCTGGGTTGGCCTCCGTTTCTGCTCCGACAAAATAGCACGAAATAAACACGTCTCAAAAATAATAATAATAATAATAAGACAAACAAACAAAAAGACAAAAATAAAAATAAAAAATAAATAATCACGTCTCCAGGAGCCACGCCAACCGCCACCCAAAGCTTCGTGGAGATCTTTCCACTGGCCTTGTTTTAAGACTTCGAGTATATGAAAAGTGAATAAATGATAAACGAGGGTTACAAAAATGGTGACATTTTATTTTATTTTACTTTATATTTTTGAGACAGGGTCTCTGTCACCGAGTCTGGAGTGCAGTGGCGCGATCTCCGCGCACTGCAGCTTCAACTTCCTGAGCTCAAGGGATCATCCTGTCTCAGCGCCCTTTCCAAGTCAGTGTGACTACAGGCACTCGCCACCATGCCGGGCTAATTTTTGTGTTTTTTGTAGAGATGCGGTCTCGCAGTGTTGCCCAGGCTGGGTGATATATTTTGAATGTTTATGATGAAGTAATGCTTTGAACTAACCACACATATAATGCAATATAATTGTATCACTCAGATTAATTTCAGAAGCTGTGACAACTTTAATTCAGGGCCACTACAGGTGTCCTGAGGTCTGATAAACGCCATCTTCTTTACTGTCAGTGCCTTTTGGAGACTGTGTGGCCATCAGTTTAGTCTGGAGAGTATGTCAAAGGTGAGTGTGAATGTGAGGCCATGGCCAAATGGGAGGCAGGCACCATCCTCATCCCTGTTTTACAGGTGGGGAAACTGAGGCTGAGAGATGCTGAAATGAGTTGTTCCAGGTTACTAAGTGAGTAGCTGACACAGGTTGCCAAATCACAGCAGTGGGAGCTCCAAGCCCAGGCTCGGCCAAGATTTTTTAAAGCCCTTATGGCTTCACAGAAACCTTGTCGCACATGCAGAACATTAGTGCTGAGCACCATCCAAAGCTGCTTCTCTGATTTCTTCCATCTAACAGATGAGGAAACTGAGGCCCAGATGGAGTACTGAGCTGCCAGTTTTCACACAGCTACAGAAAGGGGGCTGGGGCCGGGTACAGTGGCTCATGCCTGTAATCCTAGCACTTTGGGAGGCCAAGGCGGAGGACCATTTGAGACTCCATCTCTACCAAAAATTTAAAACTTTTCCAGACATGGTGGTATGACTGCCTGTGGTCGCAACTATTCTGGAGGCCGAGGTGAGAGGATGGCTTGAGCCAGGGAGTTTGAGGCTGCAGTGGGCTGTGACTCTGCCACTTCACTCCAGACTGGTGGACAGTGCAAGACTTAAAGTAAATAAATCAAGAGGGCTAGGCTTTCCTGCTTCTCCACGGTCCTTCCATTTCATCAGCTCTAGCTTTGCCCTCTGGGCTACCTTCCTTGGTAACACAGGCCAGCAGTCTGTGGGTGCACTCAGGACTTTGAGCCAGGAAGGCCAGTTTGGGGCTGGGGTTCTAGTCCCAGAGCTACCATTTTCTGTCTGTGTGACACTGGGCAGGTCACCTTCCCTCACTTGGGCCTCCCTGCTGATCTCATGGAAATGTTGTGGGATCAAATGAGATCACAGATGTGAAAGTGCTTTGTAAGCTGTAAAGTGTTGTGAGCTCAGAAAGTGGTTAGGAGCCTGGTGCTTCTCCTTCGCCTTTGCTCTACCCAGTGTTCTTGTCATCCTCTTGCCGTCATCATCTTTGTGTTTGTGTGTGTGTGTGTGTGTGTGTGTGTGAGAGAGAGAGAGAGAGAGAGAGAGAGAGAGAGAGGCAGGAGAGGAGAGTGTTTTTGAGGCAGTGTGACCCATGGACAGAACATACATGCCGGGGTCAGACAGCTCTGGGGTCCGGGTTTGAACGTGGTTAGGCTGCTCACCAGTTGTGTGACCTAGATGAGGCCCACAATCTCTCAGAGCCTCTGTTTCTTCATCTGTGAAATGGAGACATAATGTAACTATCTCAGGATTGTTGGAGGACAGAAATCATGTCACATGCTTACCGCAGCACAGAGTAAGAATTACCCTAGCTAGTTTTGGAATAAAAAGTCAGGGGCCAGGCATGGTGGCTCACGCCTGTAATCCCAGCACTGTGGGAGGTGGATCACGAAGTCAGGAGTTTATAGACCATCCTGGCCAACATGGTGAAACCCCATCTCTACTAAAAATTAGTTGGGCATGATTGTGTGCACTTGTAGTCCCAGCTGCTCAGAAGGCTGAGGCAAGAGAATCGATTGAACCTGGGAGGCGGAGGTTGTAGTGAGCTGAGATCGTGCCACTGCACTCCAGCCTGGGTGACAGAGTGAGACTCCACCTAAAAAAAAAAAAATGCCAGCGCAGTGGCTCACACCTGTAATTCCAGCACTTTAGGAGGCTGAGGCTGTAGCTGGGATTATAGGCATGTGCCACCAGGCAACCTCTGCCTCCTCAAATCGATAGAATCCAGGAGGTAGAGGTTGCAGTGAGCCAAGGTCATGCCATTGCACTCCAGCCTGAGCAACAAGAGCGAAACCCTGTCTCAAAATAAATAAATAAATAAAATAATTTGACAAATTGTAGTGAAAATGAATTTGCATGTTTTTTTTTTTTTTTTTTTTTTTTTTTTTTTTTGAGACGGAGTTTCGCTCTTGTTACCCAGGCTGGAGTGCAATGGCGCGATCTCGGCTCACCGCAACCTCCGCCTCCTGGGCTCAGGCAATTCTCCTGCCTCAGCCTCCTGAGTAGCTGGGATTACAGGCACGCACCACCATGCCCAGCTAATTTTTTGCACTTTTAGTAGAGACGGGGTTTCACCATGTTGGCCAGGATGGTCTCGATCTCTCGACCTTGTGATCCACCCACCTCGGCCTCCCAAAGTGCTGGGATTACAGGCTTGAGCCACCGCGCCCGGCGAATTTGCATGTTAATTAAAAGCCCCAGGGATGAGAGTCTTTGGGACTGACCACATGTGAAGGCACTCATACAGGACATATGCACACACATGTGCCCATGCACACACACACACACACACACACACACACACACACACACCCCGATGTCCCAACTCCTCGGCAGAGCCCAGGCTGGACAGGTCAAGGGTGACACAGGTAGCCAGGGGAGGGATGACACAAGTCAGCCTTGACTGCATTCACTTGCCTGCTCCAGAAACATCACCCTGCACCTTAAGCAGTGGATGCTGGAGTCACTGGGGCAGCTGAGGGAGCAGAGGCTCAGGTCTGGGTGTGTGTATGTGATTACATGACTTTGAAAGTCTCTTCCTGCTCTAACCGTCACTGGAGCCACAAGGAGGTCCTTTCAGAGGGAGCACATTCCAACCTCCTCAGTCACTAACCCCCGCCTTGTGGCCGTAGAAACGTTCCTGGCCTCTGACCTCACCATATTCCACCCAGTGGAGGCCAGGAGAGAACCCCAGGGGGCCACAGCCATCGCTGGAAGTTTGGGGGCAGGGAGGCCTGAAAGACCATGCCACCGTGCCTTGGTGGCCCTCTAAGACTGGCTCAGTCCCTTCCCCTTTCTGAGCCCCAGAGAATCCCCGCCTTTTGGGACTGCAGTGAAGGAAAGGAGACTTGGCACCCCATGGGTTCTCAGTGTGGCCAGGGCGTTGGAGGTGATATTTATGTTTATCCGTTTCTATTCACTTTTTAATTGAAGTTTACATTGTTTTTGTTTGTTTGTTTTGAGATAGGGTCTCACTCTGATGTCTAGGCTGGAGAGCAGTGGCAGGGTCGCAACCCACTGCAGTCTCAATCTTCTGGGCTCAAGCAGTCCTTCCTCCTCATTCTCCCGAGTAGCCGGGGCTACTGGCACATGCCACCATGCCCAGCTAATTTTTTTAGACCCAGGCAATCTGCCTGACTGCGTCTCACCAAGTGCTGGGATTACAGGCGTGAGCCACCACTCCTGGCCTTTGAAGTTTATGTTTTTACTTGAGATTACATTTGTGTAACAAACAACTACTTTAAAGTGTACACTTCAGTGGCATTTATTACATTCACAATGTACCACCACCACCTTTCTTTAGTTTCAAAACTTCATGACTCCAGAAAAATGCCCCATACCTATGGAGCAATCAGTCCCTATTTCCCCCTTCCCTCATCCCCTGGTATCCACTAATTTGTTTCCTGTCTCTATGGATTTGCCCATTCTGGGCATTTCAAGTAAATGGACTCATACATTATGTGGTCTTTTGTGTCTTACTTCTTTACTTAGCATAATATTTTCTCTCTGTCTTTTTTATTTTTATTTTTATTTTTTTTATTTTAAGATGGAGTCTCGCTCTGTCACCCAGACTGGAGTGCAGTGGCACAATCTCAGCTCACTGCAACCTCTGCCTCCTGGGTTTCAAGTGATCCTCCTGCCCCAGGCTCCTGAGTAGCTAGAATTACAGGTACCTGCCACCACACCTGGCTAATTTGTGTATTTTTAGTAGAGATGGGGTTTCACCAGGTTGGCCAGGCTGGTCTCAAACTCCTGACCTCAGGTGATCTTCCCACCTCAGCTTCCTAAACTGTTGGGATTACAGGTGTGAGCCACTGCACCCGGCCAGCATAACATATGAAGGCTCATTCATGGTATAGTCTGTATCAGTACTTTGCTCATTTTTTTGGCTGAGTATATACAACTATTTATTCATAAGTTGATGGACATAGCATAGTTGCACTGTTTGGCTATTATGAATAATGCTGTTAT